GCAGGACTGGGAGATCAGAATGAGGTGAGTCTGAGAGAGAATTTCCAGCCTTCTATGTTGGTGCCTTGAGCATGCCTACCACTGCTCATGAGAGCCTGCTTGTGCAGCCTTTCCACACTAGATAGTTATTGTATGTGTGGGCCAGTTCCTTTAGAACTGTCTGTCAACGTCCGTGGCACACAATGAACACTCAAACACTTGTTACAAGAATGGAGGCATATGTCCACAGCCATTTTCTTTTTCTTTAATTTTTTTTACTTTCAAGAATTCCATACATGAATATTGTCTTTGCATTATTTTCATCCCTCCTAGTCCCTCACCAACTCCTCCCATGCCCCCATTCTATTTTTAAAATTATTTTATTCTTTTTATTTTATGTGTATGAGTGTATTGCCTGCATGTATGTAAGTGCACCCGTGTTGTGCAATGCTGTGGAGGTCAGAAGAGGGCTTCGCAAAGAACAAAAATGAAAATAAAATCAGAAGAGAGTTATCAAGACTTGCTGGACAACAACAATAAAAAGTGTAGTCCATATATGAGGAAAAGACCAGAAAGAGAACAGAAGCGATACTTTAAATTTTTAAAAATTTTATTTTATGTGTATAAAATGTATTGCCTGCATGTATGTAAGTGCATCCATGTTGCTAAGTGCCCCCAGAGATCAGAAGAGGGTGTTAGATCTCCTGGAACTGGAGTTATTGATGGTTGTTAGCTGCCATGTTGGTGTTGGGAACCGAATCTAGGTCCTCTGCAAGTGCAAGTGTTCTAAACCACTGAGCCATCTCTCTAGCACCCCTCTAAATTTCTTGTTCTCTTCTTTATAAATGTTACACACACACACACACACACACACACACACACACACACACATATATATAAAATGCACTGAGTCCATTTAGTGGTGTTTGTGTGTACCTGTATTTAGGGCTACCCATGTGTGATTAGACAACTTTTTAGGGAACTAGTCCGTGGGGAAAACTGACTCTCCTTCCTTCTGCATCCACTGATTGCCTCCAGGTCTTCGTCTTGAGGTGGGACCCTCCACAGTCATTTTCAACACTACTTTTGTTTGGGGGGGACATCTAAAGTTCCATCATAACCTGTTTTCTATTCTTTGTGGACTCTACTTGTCTTCCCAACAATGTTTCCTTCCATCAGTGATTCATCCACCCCACAGAGAAGGTGACCAATGCTAAACTTCCAATTTCACCTTCATTTTGTACACTTTCCCTTTATTGTCATAAAACTATCATTTTCCCAAACAAGATGAAACAACCAGTTTTTCCTGAATGAGTGTTAGATTCAGAGGTACTGTCTGTGGAGCCAGGCAGAGCTGGATGAGAATGTCCTTGCAGTGGCCTTAAGTGAGTTGGTGTTGAACTTGAGTTATCCAGCCTGTACTTAATTTAGCTTATCTGTAAAATAAAATATATCAGTGACATAATATTGCTGAGAAAATTAATACTTTTGTAAATATTTCTATTAGGTAGTGGTAAATAGTAGCCCTCTTACCAGTGTATGAAGTACTTACTAAGTGCCAAACACCTTGCAATATTTATGCTCATCTTCAATCCTCACAACAACTGAGTGAAGAAGGTGCTAATATTACTTCTATTTTCTCTGGATAAGGAGACAGTCTCAGAGAGATGAAGGATCTTACACAAGATAACAGAGCTACTGAGAGTGAGAAAATAGAAATTGAAAGCCAGTGTGATGGTAATCTTGATTGTCAACTTGCCTAGATTTAGAATCACCTAGGAAACAATCTCTGGGCATATCTGTGAGGGTGTTTCCAGAAAGGTTTAGCTGAGAGGGAAGCTATACCCTGAATGTGGATAGCACCATTCCATGGGCTGGGATCCCAGATGGAATTAGAAAGAGAAAGTGAACACAACACTAGTGTCATGCCTCTGTCTCCTGACTGGATGCAATGTGACAGGCTATCTTATTCTCCTCTGGCTATGCCCTCCCTTCCCTCCCTGTCATGATGGACTATACCATCAAATTGGGAGCTCAAATAACCCTTCCTTCCTTACCCTGTTTTGGTATTTTGTTTCATAGCAATGGAAAAAGTAACTAAAAGTTGTACATCAGGACTTAACGAGACATTGAGTAGCAGGAAAGGTGGTAATGAGTAAGTAATTCTCAAAAACTACCCAAGGTTAATTCCACAGTGTGGCCAGAATTTATTGTATATTTCTCAGTTCTTTTATTATTGTGTGAGTACACTCGCACACACACACATGTGCACACAGACACCTGTGATGCAGATCATTATTTGTTTGCTATAATTTCACAGTGTAGTAAATAACTAGGTTTGCTTCCAGGAAAACAAGATATGGGGAAGAGGAGAACAAAGTGATGTTTGCGTCCGTGGGAGTCTCATTTACTGAGGGCCCTTTGTTTAGTGCTGAAATGTTTGACTTGGTGTTCATAGCCCCTGAAGCCCTCCAACAGCTGAGTGTCAGTAGAGTTAATATTATTCCAAGTCAAGTTGTTGTCCATGCTTTGTTTTGTTTCTTTTCTGTCTTTTTAAATCCCTCTTGTAAATGTGTGATTTGATACCGTTATCCAAAAAGGTCTCAGCTTTTCTCTTTTGATTTCCCTTGCAGCCTCATAGTCTCTCTACTCACTTTTTATTGTTGTTGTTGTTTCCTGAGACACATTTGCCATTAAAGAAGCCTCTACTGCACATTGGCCCTACCCAGCTCTACTGTTTGCGAACAGGAGAATGTGCTGCTCATTGGCTGCCCTCTGGAGGCATGCTTATGTCCCCCGAATGTTCTAATTTTTATTCATGCTCCGATATTATTGCATTTGACCAAGAACTACTAAATACCTTTATGAGAATGCAAGAAAGAAGGTTGCTCCATAATTGTTAACAAGAAAATAAACAAAGAAAACCTATGAAAGGGCAAAAAAGAGGCTGTTTACAATAACTTTGAATGGGCACAGGCAAAGATGCTAGATGTTATTTTACCCCGTCTTCCCATCAGATTCTTATCCCCTGAAATCTAAACATGGACAAAGTAAACAAAGTAAGACACCCCAGATGTAAGTAGCATCTGTGACTGGTGATGAGAGAATGATGTCTGTCTCTTGAAGAGAAGTTAAAATCCTCCATTTTCAGAGGTGAGGATACTCACAAAAACTCTGGTTTTAAGGAGGCCAGAGGCTTCTATTATAATGGGCAGGTAAAGCTCAATTCTTCAGATACTCATTTCTTCATCTTTTTTTTTTTTTCCCTTACAACTTTCACACATGTGGTAATTTACACATTTGGGACTACCTTACTATGTGGCAGCCAAAGAGAAAATGGCCATTAGAGCTTTCAGTGAGAGTAACAGAGAAGACAGGATAATCTCCAGCAGAGCTCCAGTTGCTAAAAGTTCTATCTGGAAAAGATACTGCCGCTGGCCCATGTCTCCTACCAAGTGGTGCTCAGAGCAAGGTGCACAGTTTCTCAGCTGCAGCAGGCTCGGTGACTTATTATTAAGGCGTCCCACACACCGAAGTCATTATGGACAGGGCCACAACTGAGTGGAGGAGTGAGGTCCTGAATCACAGGAGCACACGGAAATTGGTGATATATGTTTATCATATGGCCTGCCATCAGCTGGAGAGTCAGAATTAACTCCTCTACAATCTTAGGCTGTAGATCAATCAAGTACGGACTTCCATACCCGTATCTCCAAAGTGTGTGTGTATGGGTGTGTGTTTCACATGATGTAAAGTCTGAACCTTGTGTGTCCAGGAGACTAGAAGGAAACCTTCAGATGGTAGCTCCTTTCTGTGCCTCCCCAAAATAACAGGGTGGGAAAATCAAAGATTATATTCCCACCTCTGAGTTAATACCTTACCTCCATCCTGTGTCCTCTAAAATTAAGAGAATGTTTTTGAATCCACCCCCCTATCCCTTGCAAGTCTTCCTGTTTGGAGGATCACTAAAAGCCATGCCCAGCTCCCATGAGAGAGGAAGGTAAGCACAGTTGTGTGTTTTAGGTGCCAGGAGCTCTGCATTCCCTTTCTACAACAAACAACTTTTCTTTGGGATGCTGAACTTTTATGAACTGGTGATTACTGAGTGATACGGTAGACGACTTAAAAAGTCTTCACACTAGTTTTCCTTCTCTGTTTTAAGCAACTGAACTAGATGTTCTATTTAAGGCTCCTCTCTAAAATGCAGGCATGCCATAATTTCCAGATTCAGAGAACAGCCCCCTGCAAATTGGAGCCAAGCACATGCTGTCTGTACCCAGCAAGCCTTCAGGATAATAAGAACATGCATAGTAATGCATTGCTTTATATGTACAGCCCTGGGCCTCCCTAAGAACACCACCGCAGGTCTTGCTAACCTATGGGGGGTGGGGGAGCGGATTGTTTTTCTTCTGTTTAACCTTCAGAAAAAATACCCTTAATTTTACAGTTGACTACTTTTATCCTGCTTTAAAATTTTTTCTGCTTATTTTGAATTGAATTGTTTGAATTGGTCAGATCTGAAAATCTAACAACCACTCTGAATACTAACAATATATATATTTTTAAAACTCCCTGCTCAGTTCTTAATTTAATCTCTGGTGAATTTCAACAGACTACTGGCGTAGCCAGTTCTAAAGGAGGCGCTTGAATTTTCAGGTCACAATTCACGTGGTATAACAGCATCCTTCACACTGAGCATCAACCAAGGCAAATACTGCAGATACTGGCACCACACTCCAAAGGCAGAATCCTATTCAACCCCCAGGCCACCGCTGAGGCTGGCACAGTCTCAACTGTTTGAAAGCCAGATTCACCCACAGCACTTTCTCAGTCAAATGCTGGTTGCTGCATGTACCTTTTAGAGAGGGGACTATGAAAGTTTGCAGATTCACATGAACCAAAAAAGTAAGACACACACACACACACACACACACACACACACACACACACACACACGAGCAAAAACAGCCCTCTCACCCAAATCAAAAAGCCCTGTGGGGCATGAAAGGTAGTCTACTTACCCAGCATAGTGGTTGTTGTAAGGGTGGCAGTACCCTGATTGCAGAATCTTCAGAAAGAGCCAGCAAAGAAGTTGAAAAGCAGCTGTCTGGCTCCCGGGCTTCCCAAGGAACTTCATAGCCTTGCAATATGAGGAGTTGAAAGTTCCAGCGGTCACCGGAGGAGGAGGCTGGAGGTGGCTCACAGCACCCTCTGCTCACCATGCAAGCTATCTGGGCAGGGGGTGGGGGAGAAGGCTTGGGAATGAGCAAAATGTGACACCTCTTTCCAGCCAAGTTTAAAAAAAAAAGTTTAGGCAGCCAGAGGAGAAGGGGAGTTGCTGTTAAGACTTGGTCTTAGAAGGGGAAGCTGCAGCCCAGCCCAGCCTGGAAGCAGGGGCTGATCCTTAATCAGGCTCCCCTGGAAGGGGCTGGGCCTCCCTGAGCTGACTCACGGTAGGGGGTTGCTGGGTGCTGCAGCCTGTGGGTAACCCTTTTCTGGTTTTGACTTCTCTTCTTTGCCAATTTGAGGCCCCTAACTTTTTTTGTACAACCTTCCTTTCTCTGTCACCCTTATCCTAATTGCCAACAATATGTATGAGGACAAGTAGCAAGGGGCCAGAGAACCTCCAGGCTTAGTGTTTTGCTCTCACATGACAGATTTCCACACAGGTTTCTCAGACTGAAATGCACAGTGAAAGGATGTGGTGAACACATGCTCAGGAGGAGTCCTCAGCCCTGGCCTTTTCTGGCTCCTGACTGTACCTGATGCCAGCTGAGACTTTACTGGGCCACAGTGAGCCCTCAGTTTTCATTCTGCACCAACAGCACCCAAATCTGCAGCCTTGCAGAGTTCCTCCAGGGACTAGGGGGCCTCCCAGGGCTTTGTGACCTTCATTGAACATTTGGAACCGGTTAGAGAGGCTGAACATTTAAATCAGAATCCTGAAGACTGGGATCTGTCCTTGACAAAGCTTCCCCAGGGGCTGGGGAGATGGCTCAGGGGATGGAGTGTTTGTTGGGCAAGCATTAGGACCTAGGTTGGATCTCCAACATCTGTGTAAAAGCCAGGTATCTCAGAGAATGTCTATAATCCCAGAACTGAGGGGCGTGAGGGTATGGAGACAGGTAGATTCTGGGGCCTTGCTGGCTAGCCAGTTTGGTTAAAACAGGGAGCTCCAGACTGAGTGACAAGACTATCTCATGTCTCAGCGAGTGAGGCAGAGAGCCATGGAGGAGGTTTCCCAACATTGACCACTGACCAACATATGATTGTGCTGGTGAGGGTGTCTGTACATATATGTGCATGCACACACACACGTGTGTCTCACAGAGAGAGAGAGAGAGAGAGAGAGAGAGAGAGAGAGAGAGAGAAGAGAGAGACAGGGACAGGGAGAGAAAGAGAGAACAAGTTTCTTCAGTGATTCCAATGTTCAGCCAGCAAGCTGGTCTAGGGCAGGGCTTCTCTTGATTTAAGTGCATGCAAATCACCTGGAAATCTTGTTACACCAGATCTGAGGCAGTTGCCCCTGCAGTGGGAACTTTTGCACTTCTAAGAAGTTTCCAGGTAATGCTTATGGGCTGTCCCCTCAGCCATACTTTGAGTAGCAAGCCTTGATTTTAGAATGAGCCCTGTTTTTTCCTTCTCTCTAGACTAGGAGATGAAAACAAACCAAGCCACCCTGGAGCGAGTCAGTTCCTGCTGGAAATTTCTCACATTGGTGTTTGAAAAGCTAGACAGAAATTAGCAAGGGAGAAATGGGGACACTTTAAATGGGGAGGGTAGGAAGAGAGGATAAGACAGGGAGAGAAAGAGGAGAGATAAATAATGCTTACCTAGTATAAAAAAACCAGAGGGAATTGCATTGGTCCAAAAAAAAAAAAAAAACCTATGAAAAACTACTCAAAAAATATCTCTATGTGTCAGTGAGTATAGCTGAAGGCTACATAACAAGATACAGTGCTAGACAGGAGAAAAGTCCTTTGAGTTGTTGATCAGGGTAGTGCAAGAGACTCCCAAAATTACACAGGCTGTTGCCACAGTCCTTGATTGCCTCCCAGAACTTGATGGTAAAACCCTATTGCTGGATACAGGATATACTTTGGGCATAGGATTTAGAGCAGCTGAGCTGAAAACGACTGGAAGCCACCTCCCCTGAAGGCTAGCTCTCATAGCTTTGGAGAACACCACGCAAGCTGCCAAGGGAGAACATCAATCAATGGTCCAACTCTAGCTTCAAGGCCTAAAAACCACATCAATGACCAGTAGAGAAAACAATATTGGTGCAGTAGTGGCACTTTTATCTTAGGGCTAATCAATAGCTCTCTAATTGGACTTAAAGCCCACTCAGTTAGAGGAAACTCATGTGTGGTACTGTAAACCTAGCCAAATACACATAACTGGTCATAGATCTTAAAGAAAACTCCAAGGCTGTCACATCCCTAGACAAATGTAATTTCTTACCATGTGCAAAATATTGATCATTAGAAATTTATAGACAAGCATCCCAGTCACCACCTACCCAAGAAATTTCTTTTCCAAGAGACAGATAATTACAGAGTTCCACAAGTTGTCATACACAGAGATTGTCTGTGAATTGCCCAAGTCTAAGTGGCACATCTAGGATACAACCTCTACACCTAAGGCTCATGGAATAATGAAGCTCCTTCATGCAACAGAGGGCCAGGAATGCAAAAGGTTACAAATGACCAAAACACAGAGAATAAGAGTCTGCAGAGTGCGGGTCCTTAGATAGGACTCCTATATTAAAATCCACCCACCCAGGGCTCAGGGGCCATTGCAGAAGGGGGCCAGAAAGATTGTAAGAGCCAGGGAGGAGGTGCACAACCATACAGAAATAGTCCTAAGGCACCCGGGACCCTTTTCATACAAATCTACAATAATGGTGTCAGCATGCACAAGCCCCATGCAAACTTAAGCAGACAAAAATCCCAGCACAGAACTGTGGAAATGAACAGCAGGCCCTAATCTTAGTTGAAGAATTATTGGCAACTGATTGCTGCTGGGTGAGGAAAAGCTGATCTTCTTAAAGGCAAGGACTCTAGATAGGCTGACTAGATCCCAGGGAATGAATTTGCACTGAGGGACATCTGGGGACACTAACTTTACATGATAGGCCTTATTACAAATGACAGGATGTATGAACTTCATTGGGGGGTCTATGGGAGGGTACCATTGGGGAAGGGGGTATAAACATGGTTTACTGTATGAAACACACACCTTTAATCCCAGTACTCGGGAGGCAGAGGCAGGCAGATCTCTGTGAGTTCAAGTCCAGTCTGGTCTACAAAGTGAGTTCCAGGCCAGCGGGGGCTACAGGGAGACCCTGTCTCAAAAAGACAAAAAAAAAAAAATTTAAAAATTAGTTCTGAATTGCTTTGCATCAGCTTGCTTCTACTTTCACCAGAAAACCCACTTTGGGGGTGTGCTTTCTCTATTAATAAGGATGCCAAGTTACCTCCTTGCCAAGTCTTGTGGTAGTCCGCAAGGGAGAATGAGCTAGTAGGGCTCACCCACACATTTGTCAAGTTCCCCTAAGAGTCATGGTCAAGCAGAGACTTCCTGTTCACTAGTTCTATTGTCAAACACCGGGACACAGACACATTAGGAAAATTATACACACACACACACACACACATATATATGTAAATAATATATGCATATATCCTAAAAGAAGTGAAAGAAAAAAATCATGGCCAAGAACTTCTGGACACTGCAGTGTGGCAGCCTGAGTACTTATCAAGGGAGAAAGCATACTTACCTTTCTCATTTTCTCTACCTGGCAAGTATAACCAAGTTCCTCTGAAAGGGTCAGTTTCAGGTTCATGACATCTGAAATGATTTTTTGTTTAAAATGATTCACTAATGTCACAATTCACTGATCTTGCCAAGTCTCCCAGCATCAATTGAATTAATCTCTCTTTTGTGTCCCTTTCCTTAAAAATCTTGTAATTTAGCTATGGGGCTCCTTATGTTGAATTAATTTTTTTCTCTGGTGTTTATAAAACCATTTTTCTTTAAGTGTAGAGCTGTATTCCGTTTGTTGCATACATGAAACTCTGTACACTTTATCAGGAGGGAAACAGAATTCATGGAAGGAATGATTTACAGTGTTCACCTAGGTAGAAGAAAGATCGCCTAAGCATCAGAAATGCCTTGGGGATTGGAAATTCCCCAGGTTGCCTGGTCTCCTGGTGTTGTGTCTTTGTTTACATTGTTCTTTCCTTTCTTCTGGACTCCAGTGCCTAGTGCTTTGG